GGAAAGATACCCAAACACAATCCAGTAAACTGTGTAGTATAGCTTATAGCTAAATATTGATTGTAGAGATTGTCTTCTCATATGTGGAATATCATTGTTGTGAATTTTAATTCCTGATGCTAGTAAGTTTCATTAGAGTTCTTGATTAATCTACTTCTCTTCTACCTTTCTTGAAGTCCTGTTGTTGTAAGAGGCCACATTTGTCCTTATGAAATTAACACTAAAATAACTATTATTTAAATTGCATATGAACTTTCAAGTCATAAACATTTCACTCCATTAAAATCATTAGACATAATTTGAGGAATTGTCTCGCATGTGTTATGCAGATGTTTATTATTATTATTCTTTTGTTCTAAATGTTGCTGAGCTTTATGTTAACCTAAGTAAATGAACACCGTATATTTCAGTTAAGATGGACTTTCTTCAACTGTAAATGGTGTCTTTGCCTGAAGGTGTTCATGTAAATCTTTTGTAATGTTTTTGGGTTTTGTTTATTTATCCTTTGGAAAAGGAAATTGGAGATATTACTTTAACTCCTTTCTCCCTCTTATTAATTGCAGGAGAAAGCATGGTAGTACCAAATGTTCTCCATATTTTGTGACCTTTACAGGAAAAGTTATGATAACTTCTATCAAGATAGTTCTCAATTTTGTTGTACTCTTCATCTGATTTTTGTACTCTTTTCATTTGCTTTTGACTAGACGTATAAATGTGTTGATACTTTTGGGGGTTGTTGCTAGGATTTTCTCTTTTCCCAGATTACTAAGATTTTTAATCTTCACGAAGAACTTCTCTCTCACTCATTGGCAACTTAAGTTGGTGAGCTAACCAAATAAGTCATTGTACAGAATAAGACACATTGCTACTAGGTACTGAGAATTGACATTAGACATTTGAGTGTGAAATTGAGTTGAGTTGAATTGACAATTGGCTTTGCTCACTGGAAGAAGTTAAAATAAAGTTTCTAAAATTATTAATTGGATGTTCTATGATTTAATTTTAAAACATTGAGATAACAAGTAAAAATGAACAGTAGCAGGTCTGCTCAGAAAAAAAATAAACACTTTTCAAACAATATTTTTACAATATCATTTTAATCTTAATGTCTCCTTACCTAAAAAGCTACTGGGGTTAACACAATCATTTCCATACATCCTGGGACTTGAGTGGAAAAAATTAATCTGCTTACCAGTGCTTTAATTTTTCTGACCACAAAAGAAATCCAATGAAAAAACTCTTCAATTATTTGTTCGAATTTATATTTAAAGTTTTTGAACTATTAGCTGATATCATGTTATGGAAATCTATTTATCTTGTGTAGAATGTATATAACAAATTATTAAGAAAAAAAAACATAAAACAGAAAAAAATATATTAGCATGGGACAATGTGAAGTAGTACAAGGGCAATATCCCAATCAGAAATAGGAAGCATGTAGTAATTTCTTTTTTCCTTTAAAGATTAAATAAATTATTCAAGAATCCAATTCCTTCTCCCTAAAGTCATCTCAGAGGTATGCTTGGCAAATGTTAGCAAGAGCTGACCTGAGAACTTAGTGAACAAATAAAAAGGAAGATTTATACAGATCCCCTCACACCTTTAGCACATTCATATTTTATTATTTATAATTTGCCCAATATGTGGGAAGGAAATGGTGGTTTTGCACTAAGATGAAAAAAAAATTAGCCACATGCTACACAGTGGTTATTCCTTATATAAAAATCCATACTTCCCATATAACATAACTGCATGAACTTCAACTTGTCAGCAGAAAAAAGAGCAATGCAGTTCGCTTCTTGTGATTTAATTCTTATTTTTCATGTTATAAGTCGAAAGCAGTAATTTTTTAAAATCTTCCTTTTAATATAAATATATGTTGACTAGTGTTAGTGACTCAGAAGTTTCTCTTCTAAATCTCGGGAGAGAAAAAGCTTATTGGTGGAAATGTAATGTTTCTTTCATATGAAACATTAAGTCTAGACCATCTAAGAGGAAGAGAGTGTGCTAGGTCTGCTGGTAACAAATGTGATGTATGCTTTTGAACCTACATGACCACATATTTGAAAGAATAGTTTTTGAGATAAAATCCCTCTGCAAAAATGAGATGCTACTCATGTAGAAAACAGTGACAGTTATGAGGAAAATATAAATTCTTCTTCAGTGTAAGCTTATAAAGTGAATAATTGCTTAACTTTTGATGAACCCTAAAGTATTTAAGGATGTATGCAGTATCTGTGTGTTATCTATATCTGACAATTTCAAATTCATTAACTAGTCACTATATTTTTAAAATGGTAGTGATGCAGAAAAGCATCTGTACTTAAAGGAAACAGCTGAATTTTGCATATCATAAAACATGAGGCAGTAATCATTGCAGAAACTTTTTAGTGACACTAATCTTTTGCTGGCAGTCCTTTTAGAAGGAATCATGGTATTGTTCAAATGCAAATGAATGGTTGTCGAGGGTTTTCATATAAAAATTAAAATACTCTGTCACATAAATAACTTTTCTGATTACAAGTACTGTCCCCAAAAGGCTGAAACAGCTGAATAACTTCCGTAGAATAGGAAAAACTGTGCACTTCTCAGGGGTTTCTTTGGAATTAACTACATGCCATTGGCTGTTCCTGAAGAAGGAAGT